TTTACTTTACTTCATCATTTTTGCTATGATAAAAATGGGGAGAAATAATGATATGAAAGATTGCTTTGATGATTTTAATGATATTGATGGTTTTGGTGACATTGGTTTTGCTCTTAGTTGCCTTAAAATTTATGCTCAAATTTAGGATGAGCTATATTGTTATTTAGAAGGAGTTTGTCTTTCATAAATTTAGGGGAACCTGTTTTTTAAAAAGAAAAATGTTTTTAAGCAAAATTTTCACTTGATTTTGTCATATCAAAAAAGAGAATATTATTGGCCTTGAATTAATTAAGAGTTCTGATTTGACAAAATAAAAATTTACCTAACTTGAATCAATCTCTTCTAAGCTTAAATTGAACATTTTTTCATCATTCTATCTTTTCAAAATTCATTTAGGAACTAAAACAAGTTAAATTCTCGAAACAAAAAGGGGTTAGTACATGTTTTGATAGAAGGGATCAATTTCTTGAGGGAAGAGATTGATCCCCTCATTATTAGATCGATTCTATTTTCTTTCAGAATCAAAATTCATCAAGTTTTAGCAAGAATCAATCGATCTCTTTCTATAAGAATCAATTGGTTGTGATTTCAAGCTCACCTGATCGATCCTTCCTTTAAAGGGATCGATCACTTTTTCATACAGAATGCTCTCTTCGCTCAAATTTTCAAAAAAGGGATCGATCCCCTAATATAGGGGATTGATCACCTAGGCAAAGGATCGATCCTTCCATTAAAGAGATCGATCAATTTTGAAACAAAATGCTTTTCTTGCTAAAAAACAAGTAAAAAAGATCGATCCCCCAACATAAGAGATCGATCACCTAAAGAATGGATCGATCAATAAAGTCTTCTATTGCAGAACAAGAGTAAGAAGAGCCAAGAGAACTTATTGCTATTCACCAATCAATTTGCTTAAGCATTCAAAGCTATTTAAAGAGAGAAAAAGTGCAAAAACTTTTACTCACATCAAATTTTTCTCTATTTCTTTATCTATACTGCTGTGTACTTCAAATTAGCAAACACTCAACTTTTGAGAGGTTCTTAAAGTTTGTAAAATACTTCAAAAATTTTGTGTTGTGAGTTTGTAAGCTTAAGGGGAGGATAACCCTTAAGAGTATGTAGTGTTGATTTTGTAATATATAATAGATTAAACTCTTTGTCAAGAGAGGCTAAGGGAGAGGACGTAGGTACTTAAAGAAAGGATTGAACCTGTTGGTGTCAAATTCTCTATCCCTATCTCTTGTTAACTTTTAATTATTGTATTTATTTGCTTAGATAATTTGTTTAGCTAAATTTGTGCTTATTGATTATTGTTTTTAAAAATTTTATTAAAACCAATTCACCCTCCCTATTTATTTATTCTAAGTTTTTGAGCTAACACATGAGTGCTAAATACCTTACGTTCACCCTTTTTGTAACAGACAGTTGCATTATATGAAAATATCCATATTACCCTTTATGTACTATCTTTAACTATTAAGCTTGACCTAACACTAGCCCAAAACAACAAAAAATAACAAATCTAAATAAATAACATAATTATTTATTACTCATATAATCGAGCATGTATCAATACCTTTCCCAAACAAAACCCTTGTCCTGAAGGATTAAAAGCTAAAAATTTTTGTTGAAGCTCGTATAGGACTTCTTACATTGCATCTTCAGGAAAAAGTGTTAGTTCGTTGAACTAAACCTTTGTCGCAGCTCTATTTACCCTCTTGCCAATTCTTTTATCAAAGATTAATAAGGGTTTTTACTAATAGTACCATTATCCTAAACAAAAGAAGTTAAGATTGTGCTGAAACAACTTTTTTATGTTTTTTTAGCTAAGACACATGAAAAGTTGGATGTACTCTTGACCCTGCTGGTAATCGTAACCTATAAGCAATCTTTTCCACTTTTTGAACAATTAGAAATAGACCAAAATACTTGACAGATAACTTTAAGTAGCTCTTATTCATGATAATCTTTTGCCTATAGTGCTATGATTTCACATAAACCCAATCTCTTAGTCTAAATTTTCTGTCAGACTTCTTTTTATTAGCTAAGTTCTTCATTCTCACCTTAAGCTCTTTGAAGTTAAAATTTAAGCATCCTTATGGCCACTTCCCTAGCTTGTAGGCTCCTGTCCATTGTTTCAATAAGAGAATCCTCAACCAAATAAGGTAAATGCATCGAAACTGATTGTCCATAAATGCCTTATATGGTGTGGTATGAATAGCTAAATGATAAGTGGAGTTATCCATCATTTTACCAAAGATAACCATCTGCTTCATTCTTTTAGATTTTCACTGGTCATACATCTTAAATAAGACTTCAAACATCTGTTGACAACCTCAGTTTGTTTATATAATTGAAAGTGATAGGCCGTGGATATATTAAAGGTTGTACCATGCTTTTTAAACAGTTTTTACCAAAAATTACTTATGAATATCTTATTTCTATCTGAAACAATATTGTTTGGCATACCTTAGAGCTTATAAACATGATCCATAAAGACTTAAGCCACTAACAAAAAGTAAAAATGTGTGTTAGTGCAAAAAAATGTGCATATTTACTCAATCGATCAACAATGACCATTATCACTTGGGTATAAATCCATAGAAATGTCGGGCCACACCCTATTTGGAATGAAAAGTGGTTGAAGTAATCCTGGACTCGCAACAATATCGTACTTATGCTGTTGATAAGTGGTACACTCCTTAAGATACTTTTTGACCTTTTTCTTTAAGCTCTTCCAAAAAAGAACACTAGTGATTCTGCTATTAGTTACTTACACACCAGAATATCCATCAATTGGAGTGTTATGAAAGTATTGTATTAACTTTTTCCTTAGTTTTAGATCTTTTCCCACCATCAGTTTACCTTTCATTTTAAATAAAGTCCTATGTAGTGTGTATTTAGAGTTGTTATCATTAAATTCTATATTTATGCTAATAAGCGTTGTATGTGTAAGCTATGCTCCCAAGATTTCTTGATTCTATCTAACAAATTTGTGCTTATAACAAAGATAGCCATAAATGTAAATTTTATTTCCCTAGGCTTTCTGGAAAGTAAATCAGCTACTTTATTAGCAATTCCCATTTTGTAACAGTATACTATTCCATTTTCATGAGCCATCCCTAGAAATCTTTTCCCTTAAATTTTAAATATTCTAACTTAAACATCTTGGAAAAATCAAGGCCTGAGTGTTGACCAGTAGTCCCCTCCATTGAATGAAGTTGTTGTTAAGTACTTTGGGATTCATTGCTAGTATTTTTAGTTATAGTGCATTCTCTAATGAGAAAAGTATCACACATCTTATCTTTTAGCTCTCTTTCATTCAAAAATTTCATCAACGTTGTTTTGAAATTGTTTCTCGTCTCCAAACGATGATCATCCACCTTTTCCCCTAACTATTAAATTTTTGTTTGGGTTTGAGTAACATTTTATTATGTTTGATATAAACTCTTTCTGAATATAAGTAGTAACATCATCCACCATTGTTAATCACTAGTTAGGAAAAAGCTCTGATACCACTAATATAGTTCATTCTAGAATCATATATCATTGCTAAAAACTTCATTTAAGATGAGAAATAAAAAACAAGAAATAGTAGAAAAGAAAAGGTAGAAAATAAATGAGAGGAAAGAATAATCTAGAGAATTAAGAGAGAGATAGTAAAACATAATTTGCTTTTATTTCGTAAGTGTCGAATACTTCACGTTCACCCTTTTTTGTAACAAATAGTTGCAATAGATGAAAATATCTATATTACATCTTATGGACTATCCCCAACTACTAAACTTGGCCTAACACTGGCCCAAAACAACAAAAAATAACAAATCTAAACAAATAACATAATTGTCTATTACTCCTAAAATCGGGCATGTATCAGAATGTGTTGTGTTAGTAGTAAATTTGTAAGACTTCGTAATGTAAATTTCCTACACTTGACTTGAGTTTTTGATTTAGTGACATGATTTTGTTTTTATGAGAAGCAGACATGAGGTTTAAAAAAAAAAGAGGATTAAAGTGCATAAGGGTTGGTTTGATGATTTCTTATATTTTAAGAGAGAAAAATGATATTTGGAGCAAAATAATATTGAAATAGAATATATAACTTTTGAGTTTTGTTGTAAGATTTTATATTTTATTAGAAGAATGTAAGATTATTTAATAAAAGTTTTTATTATATTTTTTTGAAAATGTTTGAATAACGCGTGAATAAATAAGTCATTTAATTAAAATTTTTTATTTAACAAGAAAATTATTTATTTAATATTTTGTTAAAATATTTATGTTACACATATAATATATGAAATAATAAATTTTATATGTAATAATAAAATTTTTTCATAATTTAATTTTTTTATATTTTTAGTAAAAACCGTATTTTTATTAAATTCTGAAAAATAAATAAAAAATAATATGTAAAATTATTACATTTTAAGATAAATAACATTATTTATATAATTTAAAAATATAATTAAATGAGAACAAATAAAGTAAAAATTTTACTTTTATTTTGAAATCTAAAAAATATTAAAGAGAGGGAATTTTTATTTTTTTTACACTGTTAAGATTATGATATGTAAAAAAAAAAAAATCAGATTAAGAAATCAGACAAAAAAAATAGAATCTTTGAACAAACACCTTTAAATAAATTTTCATCGAGGAAAACTGATGAAATGTGTTCTGTACTCCTGCTGCCCTGTCCTGCCTCAAAGAAAAAATATAAAAAATGGAAAAAGACCGGTAGTTTAGAAGAAACCAAAATTATTTTAAAATTAAAAATTAAAAATATGTAAATTTGAACAAGTCTAAAGAAGGCATTGATGTATCCAAGTCCAACGCTGTTGATAAAATAATTTATTTTGGTACTTATTGTTGATAAAATATTTGAGAAAAAAATTTATATGAAAAATGAGGTCCTGGAGAAAAAGAAAAGTGAAGAGAGGCACGCGCGTTATTACAGGATGGAGGACAAAAAAAAAAAAACAAAGCAAAACTTTATCGACACGTGTATAGAAATAAAGCGAGTGGAAAAGTAGGTTGAATAGTGGCGAGTGGTACTGGGTTGGTCTCAATAAAAACGAGGCTTTGAAAGTAAATGAGAAGCGTAGACCGCTGCGCTCTTGTTCTTCTTCTGCCTTCTTTCTTTTTTCTACTTGTTATTTTTGGTTCTTCTCTCTGTCTTGAGCTATTCTTTTGCCTTGTAATTGCTAGACCTTAAGCTCGTCTTCTTTTTTTTACTTTCGGTCTTCTTCTTCTTGGGGGAGGCTTTTGATGAATTTATCAAATCAAGCATCTCGATCAGTTGTCCAAATTTGGTCTACTTTTTTCTTATTAATATATTTCAGGTATGCTTTTGATATATTTTCCCCCTCTGAATCGCTCTGTTGACCATATGTCCTGCTAAAGTTTTTGCTGCTCCCAAGTTTAATTTTCTCATAATCTGATCTGTGCCTGAAGTTGTTTGATTTATGATGGAATATGTTATTCTTTCAATTTCTGTTTGGTTGGTCGAAACTTTGTAGCCGAATCGATTTTGTTCTGCTTCATCCTGTACAGTTGTTCTAAGAACATAGGGGTTTTAGGCCATTTTTTGCATTTGAAAGTTGAAAGTTGTAGCTTTGTTTTTGTCTGTATAGAATTTTTGTTTTTTTTTTTTTAAATCTAAAAATCAGTGCTTTGCAGCTCTTGCATTTCAATCTCTGCTATCAGTGGTGCATTGAGGGTTTGACTGTTTCTTGAGCGGATATTTTGGCTTACGGGCTCCGATTCAGCTTAAACAATCCGGGATCCCGAATAATTGCATTTCTAGGGTTTGCTAGCAGCTCGAAGGCTTTTCATTTTTCGTAACTATATTAAGGTTGTCTTATTTCTTCCTTCGATTCTTTTAAAACTAAACATATGAACAGTCGTTTCGAAACTTGAAACAAAAGCTTCCTATTATCTCCTTTCACATATCAGTTAAATTAAAAATAAACCAAAAAAGAAAAATGTAAGGACCTGGCTGTCTGATAATTTCTGGTTACTGCTTCCTGAAATATCTTCTCCTTGTAAAATTACTTATTTTTCTCATCTCCAAGAATCCACTTATCTCCTTTTGCTTGCTAACTGACACTTTATCTAGCACTTTTTGATTTCTGTCTATCTCTTGAATTCCTTTACCCAATAAATTAAGCACAAGTTATGTCTTAAAACCCAACCAATGCTTGCCCATAATCTTTAGCACTTAATATCAGGTGGTAACTCACAAGCTTTCATTTATGCTGGTTTTAGGGCATATCCTGAAGAGATTGCACCATCAAATGAGTTAAGAGTTTGGTCTAAGGAGAGTTGCTTATCCTGATTTTAGCTTTTGGGGTTCCATTCATGATTGGAAAAAAAATGGTAGAGGGGCCTAAATTTACTGGACTTATGGGAGGAACCAACAACAATGACAACAATTACTATGATTTTACTCAAGGGTTTTACCAAAAACTCGGTGAGGGCACAAACATGTCTGTTGAAAGTTTACAGACGAGTAATGCTGGTGGGTCTGTGTCCATGTCAGTCGAAAATAGTAGTGTGGGCTCAAATGATTCTCTAACCCACATTTTAAGCCACCCTGGTCTAAAGCCTGTGAATCGCCACAATTATTCTGTCTCTGTGGGGCAGAGTGTGTTTCGTCCTGGTAAGGTTGGCCATGCACTTAATGATGATGCATTAGCACAAGCATTGATGGATAGTAGGTATCCATCAGAGGGATTGCCGAATTTTGATGAGTGGACTATTGATTTAAGAAAACTCAATATGGGTACAGCTTTTGCTCAAGGAGCTTTTGGGAAGTTATACAGAGGTACATATAATGGTGAGGATGTTGCGATTAAGATATTGGAAAGGCCAGAGAATAGCCCAGAAAGGGCACAAGTTATGGAGCAGCAGTTTCAGCAGGAAGTTATGATGCTTGCAACACTGAAACATCCAAATATTGTGCGATTTATTGGGGCATGCCGTAAGCCAATGGTTTGGTGCATTGTGACAGAGTATGCAAAGGGAGGCTCAGTTCGACAGTTTCTAACGAGGAGGCACAATCGTGGTGTGCCATTGAAATTGGCAGTTAAGCAGGCATTGGATGTTGCCAGAGGAATGGCCTATGTGCATGGGCTTGGGTTTATTCACAGGGATTTGAAGTCAGATAACCTTCTAATAGCTGCTGATAAATCGATAAAGATTGCAGATTTTGGTGTCGCACGTATTGAGGTGCAGACTGAGGGCATGACACCAGAGACAGGGACATACCGTTGGATGGCTCCGTAAGTCTTTAAGCCCTTATATGTTACAGTTTCTTTCCTGTTACATATGTGATATTTACATCTTTTTTCATTTGATGGCACTTTTCATCTTCGTTAGATGATTTTGGCATGAATTCTCTGTATTTTTTCAGAGAAAACCCTTAAGATTATGCATTCTATCTGCATAGATTTCTTACCCCTTTGTTTAATAACTTTATCTGTTTGTAGATTATCTTTTATATTTTCCTGTTGTGAATTATGTTAAGGAGTAAGTCCTGCTCTATAAGGTTCTGCTATTTTCTGTTTCTTCTTTGGAGCTTTTAATTTTTATATTGTTTGAGTTATGATTTTAAAAATGTCGACTAAATATAAAACTTCTTTTACATCTTTATCTGAATCCTGAATATGATTATGCCATTCTTTAACCTCGTTCATGCTGACTAGCAGCCTGCTTCTAAAATGGCTGATGCTTTTGTCTGATAATTTGAAGGAAGGCACTGCCTTCAAGACTGTGATTTGATTTAGAATTTTTGAGTTATCTATTTCTGGCTGGAACATTGTGAGATTTAAATAATTTCAAAATTACATATTTGTTGCTTATCCAGAAGGAGTGAGTAGATTACTGGGGAATGTACATGTACCTTCTCAGAAGATTGAATTTTTGAGGCCTCTCTCTCTTTTCTCTCTAACATAGGTGTGAATGTTTGGCATCTGGATGTAAGTGAATTACGCTTCTTGAAGCAAATAATAAATGTAACTACTATTAAGGGGATAATTGATAAAGAAAGTACTTATTGAGCGTTCATTCATTTATGTCCTTAAATTAGTTTGGAAGGGGACTGTTCTTATTAAATTTTAGCGTAAATTATACAATTGGTCGTTCAACCATGGTCATGTTTTTAAAATGGTCACTAAACTTTTACAAGTTTCAATTTAATCACTAAAGTTTGCGTAAGTGTTTTTTTTGGTAATCTAACCGTTAGTCTCTAATGACGTGCTGAAATGGCAACGACACGACAGTTGTTAGGTGCCATGTGGCATTGCCACATTAGCAAAATTTAATTTTCCAAAGTTTATAATGCCATGTGGCATATTAGATGACATGACAATGCTATGTGGTACCTAATAGCTAGTGTGGTATTATCACGTTAGCACACCGTTAGAGACTCTAAAGTTTGGGTGACAAAACAACACTTAAACTTTAGTGACTAAATCAAAAAATTTAATTGTTAATTGACCATTTTAAAACACAACCGTAGTTGAGTGACCAATGATGTATTTTACTCTAAATTTTAAACGTTTGAGGTTTGAATATGATAGGATTGTAATATGCAAAGTTGATGTTGTGTTTTCAAGCAAGATGGAGATTTTGTATAGCTTGTTTTCATCCACTGCCACTATTTGCAGAAGGTCATGTCCTTTCTCCTTTTTTTTGGGTGCTTGTTTGTTCCAGTTATGGTGGCAGAGAAAACAGGTCTTATATCTTGAAATCTGGATTCTGTTTAACGTTTGAAAGTCAAATATTGAAAGAGTTTCATAAGAATTTAGTATTCTTTCACCCATTATACTTGTACTCACTGTTTGGTATACTTAAAAGTATTTGTTTTTATTGCTCTTTAATGCCTTTTGATTTCATGATTTACTTGGAATTCACACGTCAAGTGGTCCTTTTTATTTAAATTTGGTATAAGCCTCAATCTCCTCATCGCTGTACGCTGTCATACGTACATTTTAATTTGTTTCTAATTTAATATAACACTATAACTATCAATTAAGAATAGCGACAGATGTTGAAGTAGGTTTTCAAATGGCTCAGTGACTAGTTTTTGCCCAGCAGCACCTAAAGTACATTGGCTGTGCCTGAGCTAGAGAGGACTTTCAAAAGCTCCCTGGAGATTGTTTGGAATATTATACATTATTGTTTAACATATTGCACAGCACTGATGCTGGACTGACAGATGTTTCTTATGAATTGTCTCTCTAAATTTAAATGGTACTGTTCTAAAGAGGCTAATTGCGAAGCATTGAAATCTACCTGTTACATGCACAGGAACTAACTAGATTACCAGGGCCAAAAGATCTCTCTTTTTTTTTTTTTTTCAAGCCCGAGGCTTCATTTTTCCTCTCTTATCAACTTTAATTTTGTTTGCAGCATTTTCATAATTATATAAAAGCGGTGTAGACAAACAGATGGGTTAAGAGTTGTATTTTGGTTTTAGTTTAATTTATACTGAATGCTGAATGGCCAAAGTGAATGGGTTTCCATGTGTCTTATGATTCTGCCTCACACTCAGACAATTCTGCTTTGCCCATGCAAGGAAGAAAGAGCTTTTCAGGCTTTCTTTGTTGTACTATGACCTTACTAATTTAGAGTATATAGGGGTTCATTCATGGGCGAGAGGTTTCATTATGTTTCAATGTTGGGAGGTTACTATTTTTGTTGTGTTATATTGAAGCAGTGAAGACAAATAAGTGAGTCAATGTACTTAATAATGGCCTAAGTTCAGTTGAAGCAAGGGGTTACAAGGAGGAAGATGAACAAGTGATTCAATGCACTTAGTAATTGCCTACTCTGAGTCTGCAAAAATAGGGAGGTTTCATTCAAGTATGTTTTACGAAGAAATTGCTAGCTTTAAACTGAAAAAAGGTCTCTTAGATTATATTTGGATGGAGCATTGGACAATTTCTACAGCATTTTAAAATGAGACAATTCAAAAAGCAGCAATTGAAAATGTACAGTTTGTTCAACTATTCCACAAGTTGGAATATTATCCTGTGGGTTATCCAACTTAAACAGAATATTGCCATTTCTCCCCCGCAAAATCTCACAATGATTACCAACCATCCTACCAAGAGCTTCAAGTATACTGATTTTTTTTTTTTTTAAATATGCTGGAAAAATGGTGGCCACCATCGCTAGTTCTTTACTGGAAACAGAAAATGGCATCTTGAAGCATAAGGGGAGAAATATCACCGGAAGGAGGAGATGAGAGAGAAAGAGGCAAGGGAAGTGAAAAATATAGAATTAGGTCTTGTTGATGCTGCTAGAAGTTGGAGAAGACATCAATGGCCATGAGCATGAGTTTTTAGCAAAATTATGGTTGTTTTCCCAATTAAATGTGTATTTGTTTGAGTGTTTGATAATAGACGTGGTAGGTGTAGCGTGTTGAAAGATGTACCGGGAATCATGACAAACTGTTATGCAACAATTTTAATTTGAAATGTCTTATTTTCATTATAGATGCATTGATGGAGCTGAAAACATGAACTAGGGAAGATGAGAAAGTAAGATAGAACTAATAGGCATAATATTTTGGGCCCTTCTAAGTAAAATGATGTGCACTATATTTCTACGATTCCACAAATGATTGTTGCATTTGCATTTTAAGACCATGCTATGAATTATTTTTTCTATTTGCCTTGGTCTTGTCAATTGTTTAGGGTGGGAAATAAGTTCTGAGTGGTTTGAAGGATACTATTTTGATTGGATAAGTTATAGTTTCACAATTCAACTTTGATGTAAGGTTAAGAGGTGAATCCTTGAGTTGAAATAATGATATCTGATAAGGCAGAATGGGGTCTGGCTCAAATTATTTCCACGGTATATAAATGTTTTATGTTGTGTCATTATCCATGAATGGTTTTGAGCCTAACTTCCAGAGGCTTGAGGTGCAGACATGATGTGCTCATGTATATTTAATACCCATAGGCAATAGAACATGTTGAGGCATCGAAATTATTTATTTTGAATTCCTCTTTCTTGTATGCTTGACTAATATGCACTGCTATAGTGCTTCCCCAATGTGAGAGGTAATAGTTTTGAGCCTAACTTGCCATGTTACTTGTATTTTTCTAGTAGAATTGCTTTCCTGTTTCAATAAAGTGCTGGAAACTGATTTGCATTTTATATATCAATCATAACTACGCCCAGTATTCTCAAGAGTGCAATGTGCAGTGTATGCATTAGATCCCTTATATTGCCTGAGGCGCCAGGTGCAAGGAAAGTGCTTGCCTGAGTGAAGTAAGGTGCAATATGTATATTTTTGTGTGTTTCTGTGTATAAATATATAAAATAAGTTTAAGATATATAACTCTGATAATAAACTTTGAAGAGGGGTCCTGTTTATGCATGATTCCCTTATGGTCCCATGTTTGTTGTTGAATACTTGAACATTGAGAAGTAGAGAGTTTGATTGCCCCCGTTTTTTAATAGTTGATGAAAAAATTAGAAATTAAAGAGAACTTCAATCAGGCAGGCTTTTTTTGTGCATGCTGCCTTACAGAAAAGTGTGCCTAGGCACACCAGGTATGCACCTGATCAAATGCACCTCGCTGAAAGGGTCTAAGATGCTTTTGTTGTCTAGAGCTAAGGTGCAGCACCTAGGCGCTTGCCTTTAACAACCCTGACTATGCCATGGTGTTCAGTGTTAAATTTGTTTTGGCATAGTTTATTATTAGTTTTGACTGAATTATCATTTACATGAAACTGCGTTCATTTGCTGTCCAGTTGACTTGGTATCCAAATTGTCTATCTGTTAAGTATTTATTCACTTTTTGTTCTTTATTAATGTTAGTAATACTGTTGATTGTGATTCTGTGCACGTCTTTGCTCTTTCAGAGAGATGATACAACATAGGCCCTACACGCAAAAAGTAGATGTGTATAGTTTTGGAATCGTCCTTTGGGAGCTTATCACTGGTTTGCTTCCTTTCCAGAACATGACCGCTGTGCAGGCAGCATTTGCTGTGGTGAACAAGGGTGTAAGGCCAGTTATTCCAAATGATTGTCTCCCTTTGCTGAGTGAGATCATGACCCGTTGCTGGGACACTAACCCAGGAGTTCGTCCTCCCTTCCCTGAGATTGTGAAGATGCTTGAGAATGCCGAAAGTGAGATAATGACAACTGTTCGTAAGGCCCGCTTCAGGTGTTGCATGACTCAACCTATGACAATCGACTGATCCAGAATATAAGAATGAAGAACAGATGACAAAGGAAAAGAGGATATAAATGAAAATGAAAAGGAAAAACAGCAGTAAGAATTTAAATATAAGTTGGTGTATGTATCAGTATTTAACTTTTTTCATTTCCCTTTATTTTCCAGATAGGAGAAGGTAACTATTTGGACTGCTGGTTTCTGGGTTTTGGTGTCAAATGTACTTGGACTAGTGGTATTGTAGGTTTAGTGGTAAGGGGATCATTGATGTGGTTTCCCTCTGTAGCTATATACATGGGCCTGCCATTTCTTTTACTCTTTGATTGTTTAAATGCTGGTTCTCAATCGGATCAACGTTTATTTTGGTTTTATTTGTCACTTTTTTATTTTGCTTAGGGATTTTCAGCTGATGTTCGCTGGTGCTGATTAGTGCATGGTATTTGTAGGAATGTTTATTTCTGCTTAATGGTTATTTTGGTGAGGATATGTGGGAGGGGTGCGTTTAAAGGGACAAAAGAGGTGAAACTAAATTTCTTAGGAAACTAGGTGGGCAGCTGTTGACGCATTTCTATATGATTTTACGTGGTTTATAGCATCAGCGGTTGTATATAGATGATAGGGTCTTCTCATCTATGTTGACACATTTCTATGTATGATTGTACGTGCTTTTCTGTGGCCTTGGTAACATTCACTTTTCCCTCGTGACCCTCGAACAATCGCCCCGTGATGACGTGCTAGAGCAGTGGTTCAGCGCATGTTCCATCGAGGTTTTCATTATTTTGATGCTTGCAACTTGCAAGTGGTTTTTTGGATAGAGAAACAAAGGAATCTTATTTATGCTTTTATCTTTGAAAAATGTTTGGCGTTTGGGCATGTTAAAAATGAAGCTTTTAAATGCACTGGCTAGTTTTTCCCAGCGCACATTGCTTTTCATCATTTTGAGTTATGTGAAGTTTGGAAAGATGAATTTCATAGTGTGAATTTGAATTTAATTTGCTATATAATTTGTAAAAGTAAAATTCACACATTTGTATAAATTAGTTAAGATTTAATACCAATATAAGATGAATTTGATACAAGTACTTAAAAATATTTTAGATTCATCGTTATAAAAATATAACAAATTTATAAATTTAAAAATAGTTATAAAACTATATGTACATGTATTTTATCACATAATTTATGCTAATTTGAAATCCAAATTTATTCCTTTAGAATCAAGTTATTGAACGCCAACTTCAATTATTTTAACCAATTGTTTACAATTTTATGTCTTGACTTTTGAGAGAGAGGAGAGTAAGATTTTTGTACTTCGAGTTAGCCGATCCTAAAGCTAGTTAGCCTGATTCATAGCTAAAAACGAGATTCTTGAATTTAGTAGGAAAAAAATGAAAACCTTGCAAATGGTTAGAGTCAGTTATCGTATGATTTGGATTTGGATGAAGTAATAATAATGAAGCGAGGATATTGGATTTGTATGCTATATCCTCTTTTGAAATGGTATCCTATCATGCAGGAGCTAGCAAATCTGTGAACGTTGACACTAGCTTGTCGCCTGGCACACACAAATTCCGCATACAGAAGTTTACCTACAGTAATGTCTACAACCTCATTGCTATTCTAATACCATCCGTGATCTGCTCTCCAATAGCACCTTTGCTTGTTTCACGGCACCATATCATTTTCAAGTTTCAACACTCGAATGTGTAACTGTAGTCTTGCCCGAAGATAATTGATTGTGGCCATTGCCACTCATAACAGTACCTGCTTGATCCTTGTCCAACTGATCCAAACTTATACAACTGCTGAAGCATATAGCTGATTTTTCTAATTACTCCAACCATGTTCAGTATATGCAGATCATTTTCTATAGAAGGAAGCTCCTGTTTTTCAAACCCAAACTTTCTAGTTACATGACAGTAGAGTAAAATTAATGAAATCTCCTCATCATCTATGCACGCGCACAATAACATTCGACCATTCAAAATTTACCTAGCATAACCAGTCTACTTCAATGTTCCTCCATGCTCACATGCAGAAAGGAATAATACTTACAATAAATGAAAGAATAAGAAATGAGCTATCGAAGTACTCCTTGATTTCCATCCTGTGTGGATCATCCAAAGATATTTGACAGGCTTTACCTCGTAGCAGCTAGTGCACTCATGGATGAATGGTATGAGGTTCTTCTCTGTTTTCTATAAGACGTATAAAAATCATCATATTGACTTGCTTCATTGGGATTAACTGTTGCTCCAAGTCCTAATCTTCCTAAACCACTGGATCCTGGTTTCCGCTCTGCACTTCCATCAGCATATGTTCCTGAATCTGGGTCTACCTGCAGATTTGGGGGTGGAGGGATGCAAGCTCCTCCCTTACAAATGGGAGGTTCTATGTATATTCATCATCTTCATCTCTTGAATTAGATTTCAAGGATCCTTCAGAAGGGTTAAATTCTCCAATCTCTTTGAAAAACTTTGATACTCTCTCAAGAATTTCTGATGGTGATATATTGGATGGAGGTATAACTGTTGGGTTAACTCCTCATTGTTGAGAGTAAGACACCTCACTGCCAATTTGCATCTTTCTGACCATTCCAGGAATAAGACCAGGTGGGAAAAGTGGATATGGGGGCAATTTTTCACCAATACTTGCTGATTGTTGGCTTGGTCGCTGAAGATTAGAATTTAAGGGAAAAGACCCTGGAAAAGCCTCAGTAGGGACTGAATTTGGAAAAAATTGCTGGTTTGCCGGCGATGGTAGCAAGGCAGGGGCCCCTTGTTTATCAGGGAGCTCTTGGTCCAGTGCACTTGGAATTGAACTTTGTTTATCAGGCTGCCATAGAGAGACATTATTGTTTGCTGTCTGCTGTAATATTCCTGCATGGTAAGATTTCAAGATAAAAAAAAATAATGAAAGGGAAAATGGAAATACATGAAACGACAAGTGTACTATAATTCCAAGTGTTTTATTTAAATAGCACCTACCTGCAGCTGTTGAGGACTCCACTGAAGCAGCTGATAATTCTTTGGGAGGCCCAGGAAAGGAATTAGTTGATGGTTCACTCAACATCTCACCCTCAAGTTCATATCTGGCATCTTGATCATAAACTTCCTTGGATGCCCAGAACGGCAAAATTTTCTGTAACCGTCAGTGGTTTTCCTCCTTTTTTAGAGGATTGGGGTATATTCTTGCAAGCATGGAACCTACCTAACACAGGTTAAAACGTAAGGGCCTCATTATCAAGGTCATGAGGGTTAGCCCTTCTCTGCAAACTGCAAATATTGAAGAGAAATGTCGAGGAGGATCTTAAGGAACGATAACAGCATCAACACCGGTACAAACAACAAGAAGAGCCGCCACGCCATGCTAGGAAGGCTGATTTAAGTTGATTTCTTACAATAATTTGTATTAGTAAGGGATGAAATTTATATGGAGTTTTAAAGGTGAAGTTGGTGAAATTTATTTTTAAAAATGGTTTAATAAAAATTTCAAACAAATAGATTGATAAAATTTAATGTAAAAATTAATAACATGTAAAAAAATTATTAAAAAATTATTTATAATTCAAATTTGATCGATACTTATTTAACGATAAAAATTTTATTAACATTTTTACTAAAAATATTTATATAAAAATATATATCAAAATTTATTAAAATTTTTTCAAATTTTATATACTTAATATATATAACGAGATCTTTTAATCTATCAATTTAAGTTTTCAATCTTAATTTTTATTTCATCATTTCTAGTAAAAGGCTTTACGAATTTCATAAAAATAACTTCATTTAAATCTTTTCCATTAGTAAGTGACCTAGAGTATCGAGTAAGTCAATAACTTTATCAAACACTATATAGATGAATGTTTCAGATATAATAAAATTTAAGGTTAAGTATTTTACTTATAAATTATGTAAATGATGTTAATTAGGAGGATTATCCATGATTCTGAAACTTCCGATAATTTATCTAAAATAATTCGATAACTAAAATAAAAATTGTGCAATTAAAAATTAAAATGAGTCGATGATTAATAATTTTTGAAAACAATTAAAAAAAAGGAAAAACATTTCTCAAGAAATTTTCCCAGAGACTGGCGAATGCAAATTACTTGGTTTTGATTCTTGTCCATCAATGATACAGTAACTTAACATTGACCTCTGAAGAACTGAATTAATCCAATTGGAATCATTCACAGTTCCACCAACATCTGATCTGAGCTAACAATCACATGTATACTAAGCCACCAATAAGGCTAACTGCTAAAAAAGATGGGAAGAGCGCAATGTCTGAGAATCAAGTTTTAGAATAAAAAGACAAAGGAATCCAGACCTAAAGCTTTAATTCTAGAATGTCACAGTTCAACTCAGGGGCAAAGCTTTGAGGGTGGCAAGGGAACTGGGTTCATTGTAGCGTTTGGTATAATTTTTTTAGATTATCATAATAATGTAATCATTGATATGATTTTATTATTAAGATAATCTTATCACTTGTAATTTAAAATAATTTTGTTTGATAAACAATTATTAATTCATATAAATTAAAAATTATTGTATTTAGTATTATTAAGAATTAAAAATGATTTTATTTAAAAATACGAAAATAACCATTATTATAATAGTTATACAAATTAATGATTTAAATGTTATTTGAAAATAATAATTTATAAAATATAATATATTTTATTTTATAATAAATATTATTAATATTAAATTAATAAATATATTTATTTATTAAACAAACTAATTTTTTAAATATAAAATATGTAAAAAAATTTGAATTAAAAAGTAAAATTAATTTATTAACATCATAATAAAAAAACAAAGAGATTATATTGTATATAAAATATTAGAAAAAGTACCAAATACACAAATTATTTTTGAATTTTTTATAATGAATATTAGTTTGAAAATATAAAAAATTATAGTATAAAATAATTACAATTTTAAAAAGAATCAAAATTTTAATTTACATCTTAAATATGTAATATTGACTATTATTAATTTTATAAATCACTTAACTTTGATGATAAAAGTTTTCTATTTTTTTGGATGAAAATTAGATCACGTTCTAAGACAGTTATTTGATTACTTTTGGTGATCCAAGATTACTATCACGTAAGATCATCAAGTATTTATCAAAAATGATGATTTAATCACTATGTGTAGATCATCATGATTTTTAGATCGATCATCTCTAGGGTTATAAATGAACTGAATATGAACGAACAAACATATGTTCATGAGTTGTTCATTTATTTTTAGAGTTGTTTGAGCTAGATTCATGTTCGGTAAGAAAATTATTAGTTATGTTTCAGCTAGGTTCGTTTAAGATGTTCGTGTTCATTTGCATTCTGTTTGTTTAAGTTAAATGAGCTCGTTCGTGAGTGTTAAATGAATATATTCGCGAATATACATAAACTATAGAAATTGAAATTGTTAGATTTGATGTAATATACAAATTGAGTAACCTTGGATCCTTAT